CCTGATGTAAAAAAAAAAAAAATTGAAAGTCACTGTCCATCAGTTAGATAGGATACATAATGGAGACTTGGCCTCCAAGTGAGTCTAGGATTGCCTCCAGCCTCTTGTTCTGTTTACCACGAGAAACTTCAGTGATTGAAGAGCTGCTAGCTGCCTAAAGAGCCACACCAATTGGGAGGAGAGCCTGAATATCAATACACGTAAGACTAGAGCCTTAAAAGTGACCTCAGATTGAAAACTTATCTTGTGATTGAAAACCCAAAATACATACACACACACATGAACACATACACATATTATAGTCCACAAATACAGAGACATGAGCATGAAGATGTGTGTGTCTGTGTGGAATATAGATAAGCACACAGATGTGTGTGTGTGTGTGTGTGTATGTATGTGTGTGTGTGTGTGTTATGTGGAATTTTCCCTGATTTGTCAATTTTTCTAGGTGAGTGCTTTCTTCTTTTAAATTGTTCCCTGGATTGATAAAGTTTTGTGAGATTTTGGTTACCAATTGTGTTTTTAAGAGAGGAGATAGCTGCTATGTAAACAAACCTCTATCAATGGGGTCAATGTCATCTCCCAGCTACATTAAGTATTTTGTAATTTTCTTTCGCTTTTCTTCAACATGCACTCAGTAAGTATTTGTTGGATGAATGCATAAATGAATCAAAGTATCAGAGAGGAACATGCACAGATTCAAAGTGTGGAGTTTGCCCCATGCCTGGGCCTTTTGCTTCTGTGGAAAAAGCCAAAGTGTTACAACTGCGCATGTAACTTCAGAGTTCCCATTGGAAACTACCTCTGATAGTGTCAAGGACACCTCATCCCTCTCATCCCCAGCCCCAAAACTTTCTCAACAGTATGACCCATGATGCTCTTTGATTTGGGCCACCTCAGATCTCAATTTAGCAAGTAATTGCCACAACTCTCTAGGTGTCCCACCCACCCTTCCAGTGTCTGAACCATGGGCCAAGTCCTCTATCCCTGAGACTATCTGGTGACAACACAGGCCAGCAGTCAGGGCCACAGACAGTCACCCTTTGAGGAACCAATAGCTCAGAATCCAAGGGTAATGGGAGCAGCTGAAACTATCTGGGCCATTTTTCAGCCTTTTAGCTGAGTCGTCACTGAGATAATGAGTTCGAGGCCATTTCCACTCCATTTCCCCCTCCTTGAGCTGTAAACTCTCTTTCACTGCTCACTGATGGTTCTGCCTGTGTCGACTGCTAGCCAGCAGTCACCCACAGCACTTAATAACACAGTTCCAGGCTCTGTGTAAGAGGTCAGCTGTGAAGATCATCCCAGCCTCCAGCATACATCAAGACAGCAAGGGTGCCTGGGACGAGAAGAGGGTTCGGGAGAAGTGGCTCACTCAGAATGATGCACGGGACCCACTTGTGCTTGTCTTAAAAAGACATGGACAAATCTAACACATGATGTGGTATCTGGCATGCCACTGGTGCACTCCTTCAATAAATCTGCCCCCTCAGACCACACTGAAGCTTCCAACTGGTAATGCATCAGGGATTGCCCAAGCCTCTTCACATAAGTTGTCCTGTGCCACCACCCTCTGTACCCACATTCTTTGCCTTGTATCTGTGTGAACCCTACTGCCTTGTATACTGAACTGTGGATTCAGGGCTCTGGGTGACAGTTAGCCTGGAGTGCTCTGGATTGGATTTGCATGCAGTTTTGCTCAGGGACTCTGGCAGTTGCTGTCCTCTGAATCCTTCCAAAACCTCTCACTAGATAAGAGTGACCTGTCTGGTTCCTTGATCTGGTTCCCAAACATTCTGACAAAATTTTGCTTTTCCTTTTTGCAAAGGGAAAATGTTCTGGTGACACTTCCAAATTTTAAATTGTGCCCAGAGGAATCTCATTACTCTGGATATAACTGCATAAATGTAGGTTTATATGGGCATGGGATTAAGATAATTTTTTTTTGGCTTAACCTAATTAGATAATGGGAAAGTACAAATTAAAACAATGAGAATATTTTTTCACTCATAATTTTTCCACATTTAAAAGATTGATAATATAAAATTGTTCTGAGTGTGACTGTACTAATTTATGAGAAAATAAATGCTGCAGAATTTTTGGAATAAAAGTTCAGTAATATTTATAAAAATGTAAATTATTCACACCTTTTCCATTTTAACCCAGTATTTCACATTACAATATTTTTCTAATAAGAAAATATTCATGTTTGCCTAATAATTCATATTCAAAGGTGTTGATTTAATTTGACTTGGTTTTGAAATATTACATATCAGATTATTAATTGTGCATACTTCTGAGGAGGGTACTGAATTTACGAGGATCTATGCCAAGATAAGAACTGTGGCCAAGCATGGTGGCATATGCCTGTAATCCCAGCACTCAGCACTTAGGAGGCTGAGGCAGGAGGATCGCTGTGAGTTCGAGGCCAACCTGAACTGCAGAGTGAGACCCTGTCTCAAAAATAAAAAAAAAAAAAAAAAAAAAAAAAAAAAAAAAGAATTGTCACTGATCTGTATTTTCAGGAATATTTTTGCAATAAGTACATTTGCACAACTACTTTTGTAATGCAAATATTTAGTAGACTGCAAAGCCTAGGCCCTCTTTGGCTCATTTAAATACTTAAATTTTCAGGGGCTGGGGATTTAGCTCAGCGGCAAAAGCGCCTGCCTGGCAAGCGCAAGGTCGTGAGTTCAGTTCCTGGTACCGGAGAAAAACAAAAACAAACAAACAAACAAATAAATACTTAAATTTTCATAATCTGACTAAGTATAAATATAAAATGTCTAGTGCTTACTAAACTACAGCATTTTATCAGTACAGATAAAATAGGGGCTCTGTGTTAATCACCTAAGTAACTGCTAGCATATGCACCACAGGAATCCTGAAATTTGAATATCTTAAAGCAATCATTTAGTTTTTGTGGACATGAATTCTGATTTGGGTTGCACAGCCTTCTACACTTGGGCCATGTAGGGATTCAGGTTGCTGCTATGTTTAGCTCTGTTATCTTGACACAGGGCTTCCACGTCTGCTTCTAAATGGAAAAGGAAGCCTGGAGATGGCACATTAGCTCCTGCCTAACTACAGGGGAATAGACAATGAAGAAGAGGTGACAAGGTGTGGATGCATACTTCCAGTCTTTTCCAGAAGCTGTCATATAGTACGTGTTCAGTTAGAAGCAGCCATTATAATTTGATATGGCAATAACCATCTGGTTTCTTCAAGGGGTTTGTGAGAAAACAAAATTTGCCTCAAAATTCCCTAACTTTTTCACACGCTTTCAAGTACAAGGTGACACCTGGTTTTCAATGGATTCTGTAAATGTTAGCAGGGAGGTCTGCACTGTTCTTTGTAATAGACTGTGTGATCTTACTAGGCTGAGAATTTTTGTCTATGTGTAGGTTTTTTTTTTTTTTTGTACCAGGAATCGAACTCAGGATGTTGTGCTTGCCAGGCAAGCACTGTGTCACTCAGCTATATCCCTGGCCCTTCTATTTGATATATGATCAAAATCTTAACTTATGATTCCCCTGCTACTCTTTACAGGATTTAGCATTCCTGAACACCTGTGTAGGGGCCATTAGGTAAATTGCAAATCAAGACTTTCCTGTAGGAGGAGAAACCATGGAGCCCGAGGCAGTAGAGGGATGGTTAGCCATTGTTTTCCTTTATCACCAGAGCTGGATTGTCCATTAGGAACTAACAGAATCATTATTTTGAAAATTTAACCTCTGGTCGATCTTCTGTGGTCTTTGCTCATCTACTGCTTGTGTGAGGCTTTGGTTTTCAACCAAATAAGCATATGCATTTGCATAGGTGCTCAGTGGCCTGTTTCAAGTAACACATTCAAGTCCTGCTTCAAATATCAATGTGGTTTCAGAATCTCTCTAATTTTAGGTTTGTATTCAAGAACCAGTAGATTATGTGCAAATCAGACTCTCACCACGCCTCATTGGAAAATTAGAGAGTTCACCGAAGAGGCTCAGAGGGGATGACCAGGCATAAAAACATTCCCCAAAGTGTGCTGTTACATGGAATGACTTACTACTATTACAGAAGTTCCAGAATGAAGCACGGGACACCCAGGGAACTTCTGCAGGGAACGGCCTGTCAGGAAGAAGGCAGTTCCACCAGGAAAAGGTGAATTTTATAACTAAAATTCAATAAACTTTGCCAGACTATAAACATATTATTGAATTTCTACATGAGAAAGTTTTCTACAATACATAGCACAAAGTTTCTAGAATTTTAGTCAAGAATTAATATTTTTCCTTCACTCCCAGCTTCTCTTCCATCCAAACCATTAGTTTCACTTATTTCACTCCTACCAAAAATCGAACCCTTGCTTAGGGATGGCCATACTATAATTGAGGCACTTATTTTTAAATGTTCTTTCAATGGAGTGGGCTTTGGTTCTCTCAGGCCAGGGCAAACACTGCAAACTAAAAGGCTTCAGGAGGCAACATGGGAAAAGTAACATCATATTTCCCAGTCACACCTTGTGCTGGTTAACATACCACAGAGCACTTAGTTTGTGCAGTGATTTCAGCTACACTGGGAGCACAAATAGACTCCTTTTTGGCTTAACCATTATTAAAAAAAAATTGCTCAGAGTTTTCCACTGGAATCTTTTTCCACTATCAAAACACACCGAGAGTCTGGCCTCTGCCACCAGCTTAGCATAAAGTTAATTCTCACAGAAGAAACCAGAGGTGCCCCAGGTCCCAAGAAGCTTTGGCTCAGGGCACTTACACTTGGTTGCTGGCATCTGGAGTCCCACCGCCTCACTCCTTTTTTCCTTCTTGCCCTTTATGTTTCACAGGACATCTCACCCTCTCCCTGTCTTATCTTAGACTCACCCCTGGTGACACTGTGCCTTCTGATGAGCAGACGCACAATTAACGTTCGGAGAATAAATGAGCCAGCAAGTCAGGATTCTTGAAATTTAAGATTTAATTTCTCACACATTCTTGAGTAAGCCAAGCAAATGAGGTATATATCTTTAATTTTACAAAATGCCAGACTATAAGGGATACAGAAATCCTAAGATTAATCATGTTTTACATTTTCCCTGCATTTATTGATCTTATCTATTACTGGGTTCTTTAACATTTCTAAGGAAATTTGTGCCAAGACCGTTTTATCTTGCTCTAGATCACAAAAGAAGATAGGAAGTTTCTCCACTTATTTTTCAAAACAGCAAACCTCTTCTTCTTAACCCTGATAAACAATAATAAATGTGTAACCAATGTAATTAACGACTCTAAATTCTGAAACTAATAAACCTTGTAAAAATAAATTTTCAGGTTAAAACAAGTGACCTGAAATTTCCTCACTACTTCCAACCTCGACTGCCCTTTTCCAGCACAGAGCAAGGAATCGGTCTCAGACTTTACTGAGGGCAGGAGAAGCTGCTGGGCTTGGAGCTGGCCTGTGTACTGGCCGTGTCAGCAGTACTACCCCCAGGAGCAGCTACACGCTGGGCTTTCTCTTCTTCATCTCTCAAAGCTTCCATATACAAGGATGAAAAATCCGAGGGGTTACTTCCAATGACTGTGGAGAAGAACTCCAGGATTTTCAACTTGGTGGTTTCAGCATGGGCTCTTGGACCCCATAGGAACTCATAGCGAGCAGGGTCACTGTTGGGCACCTGCCTGTACTCTAGGTACCGTTCCTGTACGAACTCCGTGGTGAGGAGCTTCCTGGGATACCCATAGATGAAATCTTTCTTGTCAGGATACACCCCAATCTTCCGCAGCATCTCCCAGATCTTCTCCTCAGGGGCACAGTTGCCCTCCATGAAGATCATGCCCAGGACAAGTATCAGCAGGCCAGTCTTAGGTATGCCCTGGTCATCACTCAGCCTCCCATCATAGGTGAGGTCTAGCGCTTTGACCAGTACGTAAGTGTGGCTAGTGGGGTCAACTTCTTTCACATCAATGCCGAAGATCACTTTCATCCATTCACAGGCGTTCCTGAAGATCACAGGCATAGCGTCCTTGTTCTCTTTGATGACATTCTCCAGCATATCTGCTTCAGTGACAGGCTCTTTAGTTGCATACTTGACACTCAGGAACTTCACCAGAGCAATCACCTTCTTCTCTAGCATATTAGTGAGCAAGAACTCAGGGTACGGACAGGCCTTTGAGGTGCTCGGATTCTTCCCTTTTTGGCTTCTGGAATCTTTCTTTGACTTGTTTGGTGGAGTAGCCTTGATGGCAGTAGAAGAGCAAGCTTTCTGAAGACTCTGGGGAAGACGTGATGCTCTGGCAGTGGGTAAGTCTTCCGGGGTGCCTGGTGTCAGAGTAGAGGAGGAGGCAGCTGTGGTATCCGCCTCTGCAGTTGCAGGAACCTGCCCAGGCACCAGGCCCTGTGCCTTTCTTCCATCCTGAAGCTTGTAGTGCTGATGCTTCTGGCTGTGAGGCATCATGACTTGTGTTGGAGATAGCTGGCGAGAATGTGGGCAGGAGAAGGGCAATGGACCAAACTGGTCTGCAACAGAGAGGAAGAACATGAGAAACTTAACCCTGTCAACTGGGTGAGGATGAGAGAAAGCTCTTCAGGGTACAACCAGTCAGCATAGTCTGAGGCTTCAAGGGCCGATGGTGGGGAGTTTGGATCAGGAGCTGTGGAGTCTTTTCTGTCCTTGGGTGGTACGGTCTTTCATACACATTCAGGGTCTGCACCTCACCATGGATCATGGCCTGAGGACATGTGACTCATGTCAAGGCCTTCATCCCCAGTTCCTGCAAAAGAGGAACTGAGGTGCTCCCAGATTACAGATTGCGAGCACACTCCAGGGCTGGAAGGTGGGTGGGAATGAACTCTGTGTGGTCTCTACAGTTACAAAGTGGATAAATTTCCCAAAAGCAGGAGCAAGGAGGTGCTGAGCTCCATGAGATCTTATGCAGATGCACCTTCCATGCTCAAAGTGACTACTAGAAAGACCTGAGTGAACAGCATCCTGAGACCACTGGATGGGAAGAAAGACACGCTATATCTGACATCTGGCATCAGGTACTCTCTGGGCAGTGGCCCCAGCTCTACAAATGCATGGAATCCCCTCATTTCTTAATCAGGGTCCTTACCTTGACTCCTAGCAGATCCCGACTCTCTTCTCTAGGATGACCAGAGGTGGCTACTCCTGCTGATGTGAAGGTACCTGCTTTGGCCAAGGCTGTCACCTCCTGAGATCAATGAGACAAAAATGAGGACATACTACATATAGCAAACCTTGCCCAGGATCTTCTACAGCTGACAGTCAGGGCTTAAGCCAGTATTCCTTAAGTGGTAAGTAAACTTAGTCCTTCCTGCAGGGCCTGGGACCCTTCTCCCTGCTGACCTGAATCTGTTCCGCTCAAACACACACATGCATGCATTAACACACACACACACACACACACACACACACACACACACACCCCTCATCACTACCAGGTCAGTTGGAAATGAAGGGAGACTCATACAGAACTACTTGGAGCTTGCCAGGGCTGACAATAAGGGTGTAGCAAGTTTCTTAGGAGGACTCCTTCCCTGCTCTGTCTAGTGTAAGAATTACCCACAATCCTCGTGAAGGTACTCATATTTACTCCAGGTGGGGCCTGCATTCTTTCCCTTCTGCTATTCTGAGGATGAACTCCTTAGGCCAAGACTTACATCTTCCGGAGGGTAGACAAGAAACTGCGAGTGGGGAGAGCTTAAGGAGGTGCTTGTGCTTTACAGTGCTACCCAGGACCCCCCAGAGCTGACAGTAGGGGCAGGACAGAGCTGGAGCTCTGCTCTTTCCTATTGGAGGATCTCTCAGTCCTTTCCCAGAGTCCTCATCTTGATCCCTGGCAGAGAGGTAAGGCTCTCCCTTCTTTTGACTTGTGGCTGTAGCTCTTGGAAGAAAGCCCTCACCTCACTAAGACCAAGAAAAAAAATAAAGTGGAGCCACAGACTGACAGACACCCCTAGGGCCTTGGTCTGAAAAAAGTCTACCAGGGCTCAAAGCCAGAGTAGGATTTATCTGTGATCTGAGTTGGGGGTATGCAAGCACTCCTTTTCTGCTGGCTTAAGAGTGCTTCCCTTAGACCAAGGTCATATCTGCCAGATACACCAGTCACCAAAGCAGTCACCAAACAAAATGAGTGGGATAGAGAGGGTATCTCTGCCTTACAACTGTGCCTGGGACGCTCAGTAAAATGGGCAGTTTTCTATGGTTCTCTCTCTGAGCCCAACCTTAGGGTCTTTATACATGGCAGGGCTTGGGACTCCTCCTCTAATTGGCACAGGATTTGCCCTTCAGAGTAAAAGGCAAGGGCAGGAGGAGACTCAGGCTGAAAGCATTCCTTAGGGTCCCCAGGGCTTACAGCAGGGATAATGCTTTAGAGATTCCTTTGTGTTCCTGGGTTGAGTAGCCTCAGTCCTCCCCAAGTTCTTTATATTTTCTGCTGACAAGACTTAAACCACACCATTTCTGCTGAATTGAGAATGCAGTTCTCAAGGCAAGATTCCCACCTTTCTAGACACCACCAAGGAAGTGTGGAGGATTAGGGAAGGTGTCTCTGCTTGACTGCCCTGTGTGGAGCTTCCTGGGGGCTGACAGTAGGAGTGGGTTTCAACGAGCTACGTTCTGTCTGGTAGAGAATGCCCTTGGCATTCAAACTTTGATCCTCCCACTGCCTGGGCTTTCCATGTCTATTGATCCCAGCAGAGCCTCACCAGAAAAAATCACCTCTCCGATTCCAAGATGGAAGCCAAGATGGAGCACATCCAGGAACCCTGCCCTCACAGAAGCCTCTGGCTCCTCCCCTAGGACCCTCTGGTTCCTTACCCCTAGCTTCTGGCTCCTTCCCCCCAAAAGCCTCTGGCTCCTCCCCGCAGAATCTTCAGATTAATGCCTGATACTGCCTGAGACACTGCCCCCCTACTAAGTGGAGTCAAGCTGCCTCAGAAAAGCCCCCCTGCCATCAGACTCCAAAAACAGATGTCAGGAAATGCATCTCCTACCCCTGATGGCATTCCAAAAAGTTGATAGAATGCGTAAGTTCGGATTCATCCCCCTACCCTCAACACCGCCATCCTCCCATCCCCCAACCCTCCACCTACTTGATGTGGTGAAAAGTACTGTATCCGCTCCACCTTTGAGATCTTAACTTTAAAGGCTGACCAGCCATAGGCCTCCTCTCTGCTAACCAAAATCCACAGCCCTCACCTCCTTTGGATTCCAGGGGTGGAAGTCAGGAAATCACAAGTGTCCCTAAGTGGAACCTCCCATCGGAAACTGACAAGGTGAGGTAAGACTAGTGACCCCTATACCTTCATCTTAATGTTTGACACTGCCTGGGACAACCCCCCTGCAGACCTCAGTGGAGCCCCTTCAGAAAAAAAATGTCCCCTGTCACTCTAAAATGAATGTTTGGGTACACCGCACCCGGGAATCCTGCCTAGAGTCATTCAGGGGTGAAAGCAGGAGCAGCGTGGCGATGAAGAGGGCCCCCTATTCCTTTTTCTGAGTCCTCACCTTGAATCCTGACAGGGCCTGTAGTCTTCCGATTTACTAACACGAGTCTAATCCCTTCATAGGAAGTGCCACTTTCTTCCTGCAGAAGTTAGTGTACACTGCAGTCAGGGACTCTTTCTGGGGTTTCTCAGGGCTAACAGCAAGAGCAGAACACCACAGGTCTTATTCAACTAGAGGTAGAAAATTCAACTAGGGGCAAGAAAATCCTTCAGTCGTAGATCAGTATCGTCACTTGGATTTCCATCACCACCTGGGACCCCTCCTTCAGCCAATCTGAGACCACACCTCTAAAATCAATCCCCCACTGCACTAAGACCAGCTCACCAAGATTATCAATAAGGGAAAGAGGTGTGGCCTCAACCCAAGAGACCTGTAATAGTGTCTACCAGAGCTGAGAGAAGCAGCTGGGCATATTTCTGTGGGATTTCCTTTCCAATTTGGGTTCTCAAAATATTTGTATCTTTTTTCCTAATTGGGCTTGCAGATCTCCCTTTTCCTGATACACCCTCCACAGGACAATGGAGGATAGTGGTGGCACCTATTCCTGACAGCTCTTCCCCAACTTCCTAAGGCTAACAGTAGAATTGTCTCCCTCCGTCCCTCCCTCCATCCCTCCCTCCCTCTCTTCCTTCCTTCCTTCCTTCCTTCCTTCCTTCCTTCCTTCCTACCTTCCTTCCTACCTTCCTTCCTTCCTTCCTTCCTTCCTTCCTTCCTTCCTTCGTACTGGAAATGGACTCAGGGCTTTCCACTGAGCTACGTTCCCAGATCTGTTTATTTTTTACTTTGAAATAGGATCTCTATAATTCACTAAGTTGCCCAGGCTTGGCTCAGTCTTGTGATCCTACTGCCTGAGCCTCCTAACTGCTGGGACTACGACTGTGCTACCTGCTAGGACTGCATTTCTATGGGGCCTCCTCTGGTAATAAAGGGCTTGGAATGGCTCCTTTTGCTGATGTAAGTCCTACTTCCTCAGGCAGAGACCTTCACTTCCTTGAAAACCTACCCAGGTTTCAGCTGGAAGTCAGGGTATGTGACCTCTGATTTATTTCTTAGGTATCTAGCATTTTTGCTACTACATGATGTAATTTTTATATTGTGTAGAAATTAAATTGATTCTGGTATATTAATATTACTTTCAGTAATACAGCTGAACTCTCATTAGCTCTAGAAAATATGCTAAATTTTCTATGTGGATAAACTTTACTGTGATTAATAGGAGTCTTGTCTGTTTTGTTTTCCAAATCTAAAACAGTTTTTTTTCTTTTACTTGTCTTACAGGGCTAGTTGTCTGTAAATTCTAGTACACTATGGAATAGATAGAATACTAATCCATTTTTTTATTTGCTTGTTTTTTGAGGCAAAGTCTTCCTATGTAGTTCAGGCTAGTCTTGCACTCCCTATGCAGCCAGGCTAGCCTCAAACTCATAGTGATCTTTTTGCCTCAGCCTCTCCAGTACGAGTACTGAGATTACAGGCATGCCCCAGCACATCCAGCTGCTAATCCATTTCTTAACAGCTACTTTCTTTTAGACTTTCAAACATAAACATACTAAAGGTTTTGAGTAGCCCTGAAGGTAATAAATCTGCTACCAATTAAATACCATTACTATGCTTCAAGTACTACTCTCACAGATTTATATGTGTTAGTTCATTAAATTCACCTAAAATGTTGTGAGATAGAGATTATTGTTACTTTTACTCTATAGTAGGGGAAACAAAGGACCAGAAGACTGTATGTTGCTTGTTTCATGCCACTTTTTTAGTGAGGACCAGAGTCCATATAGTGTCTTTCTAAAGTATTCTAACTACTGTGTGAAACTGAATTAAAGTTTTATTTTAATGTGTTTACTGAACAGATAGAACTGTAATGTCTCTTACATGTCATAAAATAGTAGGATAGATTATATTTTGAGGTGGTTAAGGAGATGGAATCCATTTGAAATACCTACATGAAAAAATAAAACGATGCCTCCACCAGCTAGTTAGTGTCTCCATCTTCATTTGCCTAAATAGTCATTTGTAGAAGGTGTGGCCTGGGCTCTCCAATACAATAAATAATTGAAAACCAATGGCCACCTAAAGTAGAGCAATAATTAAGGAAGAGCAGTACACTACCCTTCCTGTATGTAGTAATGAATAGTGTGTTTTTCTCTAAAGAGTTTATAATCAGCACTTTTGCATATAAAGTCTTTTTAGTTTAAGAAGACCTACACTGATGTTTCCTAAAATGGCATAATGTCGATAGCAGATAATGTTGTTCATCTGTAATTGTACTTGCATAGAGAGGGGAGTACTTCCTATCCAGAGCCATTCAGAAGCAAAATGTCAGTGCCTCTACTATGGAATAAGTCCACTTTGATATGTACTCCTTAACCGAATGACAGATTGGCAACTAATAATGTGAGCTGGCACATAAGACCACTGAGCCATACGATCTATGTATTTATGGCTTCTTAGAGAATGAGTTGGTGAAAGTTATACAAGTATTAATTTGTTTACATTTACCTTGTTAAAAAAATAAGATTTTTACATGTGGCATTTGCGGTCGTGATGGGGTGTAGCATTTCATAGACTCTCACCTGATGCTAGTGTTGGGAGAAATGACATGGGCGGTCTATGAACAAAGTTATGCTGTAGTCAAACTAATTTTGGGAGTTTTCTCCCTCTTGTTGATTCATTGTA